AAATTAATTCAGATACAAAACTTTAAGTTCAGTTTCACTTTAGTGAAATTCATTTTCAAATCAATGCGTTCAGTTTCAGTTCCTGCTGACACAAGATTGATCCCGTTGTGCACATGAAACTTTTGGTGAATCTGCTCTGTCAAACAGGGTTTGTTTTTAGCTTTTGGTGCCCCATGTGCAGCCAGTCAGGTGCCAGCTATCAGATTTTTATTGCCAAGAAGCATTGTTACAACAAAGAAATAATCTACCAAACTCAAATTCGGTATTGTGTTAAATTTATAAACGAGTAACCCAAAAAGGCTGAAGAACCGCTCCACAGTGCACCACCTACTGAAAGCTCCCAGAGGTTAGCAGAATGCATGAACTTTTCTACCTCTGTTAAACGTTTAACTGTGCAGAAGAAGCAGGAGACCCTCTGGCTGAACACACATCAGAAGGATTATAAGATGTCACCTGCCTGCTGTGCACCTCTATCTCTGCAGGTCACAGTTGGTGGGACACTCGGCGGCCTCGGTTACTTTTGGCCGGCCTTTGATCTGGAACGCCAGAAGTATCAACTGAAGCTCTGAGGTCAAACACACAACCGTGGCTCCCAGCGGTTTTAAAGCAGATCAATCAGATTTGATAATACAGACAAAAATGAAGGAGCTGCAGATTTAAGTCAAACATCACAAACTGTGTGCAGACTCTGACCCAGTCATGGCCAACACTGTGGGACATGCAGCTGCTGTTAAAAGCTAAAGTTGTGGTCAGCCACAGGGTCTGACAGAATCTCAACATCTAATTTCACTGAAGTGAGCAGAAAAAGGAGCAGAGAACGTCAGAGAACAGACTCACATCTCAGGAAGTCGTCTCTGGTCCGAGGCTCCTGGACTGGGACAGACTTGTACATCACAGCTTCTTCACCTGCAGAGGAACAAACATGAAGCTGCTCAGAACAAACCTGCAGCTGCTATTTCAATTTAAAGGCTATCAATTAGTGAAAAAAAGTCCAGTGCAATGAGTTTCACACTCAGGTAATTAATTTTTTATTGTTTATTGTTTATTGTGGCTAATAGCCAAAAAAA